CTCGCACATTTTTTCAAGAGCCCTCGTCCTTTCTGTTCACACTATTTTCCTTTCAGTCGTCGCTTGTCAGGGCTCTGGTCAAGGTTAAATTCAAGCAATTTTCTTTTTTTTACTCTCGAACACTCCCAAACAATCAACATGAAGTTCCAGATGCTGCCAATCCTCCTTGTTGTCGCCATCCTTGGATCAGCCGTTGAGGGCTACTCCTATACATCATCAGCTGGAAGAGATATGTATGAGAGGGAGGCCAGTGCATGGTCGACCCTGGATGAACTCGCCCAGCTCCATGCCAAGCAGGCCGAATTATTATCCAGAGTGATGGACAACACTGAACGAGTTTCTATCCTGGAGAAGATGGTGAGAGCGTAGATAATGTCAAATAATCTGCACGTACCGATATTCGTCATCCAATGTTGCTGATCCGAGGAGCTTTTTTATTATTTTCTTTAATCGTCGATAGAAATAATTTATGTTAATACAAGCATTTGACAGAAGCGCATGGTTTCAGGTGTGAACGCAACGCACATGAGTGCATCATTATGCAGCAATCGACGACTTCGTAAGTGTTTAAAGGGACAATCAGTATGGGGCAATCAGGGGTGAAGGGGATATCATACGGATACATCTGGTCAATGTCTTCATTCGAAGTTACCTGGACCAATGCATGTGCGCACGTGCAGATAACATCCCCACTGTGACATATTCATCGTCCGGTGGCTGTCTACCGCATGCAAAGCTCAGCGCAATCAGCCCAAAATAATTGCCGGGTTACTGTGTGGGGCACTTCACAACCCTTTAACCCTCGCCGGCACAGGCCATTTTGCGTCCTTCGAGCGACGGCACAAGGGGGGGGGGGGGTTGGTACGACCCCCCTCGCGTTTGGCCCCTGATCGAGCTAGAGCTTCGCGGAAAAAACGAGCGTGTTGCCCGTCACGAGAGGAAGCCGATGATACCCAATTTTAAGGTCCTAGGTCATTGGGTGACCTTCCAGGTCAGGTCAATGACCCGAAAAACGGGAAAATCGGGACCTGTTTGAAAAAGGTAAAGTGTGGCTGTTATGTGGTTTTCCGGGGTGCTGATCACAATTATCGTGTTAGTTTTGATCAGAGATGATGTCTTTAAGCATTTAGACCAGGTTGGGTCAGGTCAGGTCAGGTCAACCGGTAGGGGTTGTGACGGGTATTCGTAATACGTGTCAATCGCCTCTGACAGCTTCGTAACACGTTACGAAGGCACCAAAGCTACTTCGTAAATGTTCAAATGGTTGCTAAATTCGAATTCAGCTCCAAAAACTAGCCTAGAAACATGTAAAACTCGAAAAAGTGAACCGAGGTCACCCGAGGTCACCAAAGGTCAATGACCTGACCTGACCTTCAGGTGACCTTGACACCCACCCTAATGTATGGGAGCAACATCAAATCACATGTTTGAACGTTTGAAACCACGAAAAGCTTGCAAACGCACGGCTAATGCGAGCCGACATACGCCGAATCGCGATTGCGGCCAAACATGATCTCGGAAAAGAGGTCACAGGTCAAAGGTCATTGGGGTCAGGGTCATGAAACTTTCAGGGTAGGTGTAAAATTGATCAATGCGAGGGTACTGAAAGTTTCGTCGCGATCAGCCGCTTTTTACGTGAGTTATTTGCGAAAAACCTTAGGGGAGGTTGCATCACCCCCCCCCCCCCCCTGTGCCGGCGAGGGTTAATTTGCACGTAACATCCAAGCAAAATAAGTAGTGGTGGTCACCCCCTACGCACAAAAAAATTGCGTCCATGATTAAAGAGATGATACTATTTAACCCTCGCCCGCACATGCCATTTTCCCATCCTAGAACGCACATGGGGGGGGGGGGGTTGCCACCCCCCGCGCCATTTCGTTCCTGTTGGAGATAGAGCTTAGCGGTAAAGACCAAAAAGATTCTTTGGGAAGAGACGAATCCAATGATACCCAGTTTTACCTTCTCAGGTCAGTCAGTGACCTTCCAGGTCAGATCAAACTAAAAAATGTTGCTGTTTTGGGTCACCGTTGGATATCAAGTGCACTGCTTATCAGATACCGATGACGATGCCGTTTTCTGGTGCCAAGCCAGCTAGAACCTCCTTGTCACACTACCCGACCAGGTTTTTGCTGCTGAGGTCATTCCAGATCAAGTTAGGTCAAGGTCAATTATATGGGTTTGTATGTCTGTGTGTGTCTGTGTGTGTACTGATGTGTGCACCGATTGTTTATGTGTCCATATTACATGAAATCATGATCTGAGAAGATTTTACCAAAAATGCAGTCAAAAAACTTCACAAAAAGTAAGTTCCGCTTGCCTAAAACGCAATTATCTTAGATGACCTAGGTTGACCTTGACCCTGACCTTGACATCTGTACATCGTCGAACAACATGTTCCATGATAGGTGGGAGGTAAGACTGGCAAAAAAGGCCGAAATCAAAGTGTCAAAAGCTCACAAGGCCCATAGCCAACGCAAGATGTTGAGAATTGGCCATTTGGGTCATGACCTGACCTGAAAAACAAGGTCATATCTCCGAAACCAAAAATCACAGAAACTTGAAATTTTCAGTGGACATCAAGAAAGGATAGAGGAGCAGCTATACGAAAAATCAGCCTACTAGCTCTAAAAATGTTGAGTGCAGAGCAGAAAAACTACCTGGGGGGTGGCAACCACCCCCCCCCCCATGTGCGGGCGAGGGTTAATTCAGAAGACCACCTAGAGATCGGTCGAGTGGTTGTCGAGGTAATAGAGATGATACTATTACCTCAGGTAGTCAAAAACGTTGCTGGGCCCAGCTTTGCCGGGACGGACCGCTTATGCTGAGGTTTCCGTTAAATTTCAGATAAATTAACTACGCTTGTCAACTGATCTCAATAGAGCACGGAATACAGCCGGTTCACATTCCGCCTCTAAAGTAGGTTGATCGGCGTGGTGGAATGGTTGCCCTTTCTCTAATTCTCGCCCGAGGGGGGGGGGGCTTTTTTGGTCACACCCGCCAGTTTTTTTTTGCGTGTGTAAAAAACCATGGCACTCAGCTTCGCGAGATTTTACTATGTGTGCTTTACGATCCGTCGATTTTGCTTCGTGTATGAAGTTCGTGACCCCAGGTCACATAAGGTCAGCTCACCAGATCAAATTAAGTGACAAATGACAATGTCGCTAAAAATTGTGATTGTTCCCAAAAGCTTACACCCGTCATTCCTACAGCTTACCTCCGAGAAGTTTGAAACTCTGGAGTCTGGATATTCCATGAAGAAATTAGTACTAACACTTTGAATATCTCAGAATTTTAACATCTGTGACGTAAGGTCAGTTCCATTTTTCGACCTATAAATCAATGGGAGAAAATTGAACTACTTTCCTTTTGGACGAAATTCATGTTTACTTCTGTGATGCATCGGGAAACAGGCAGACATGACAATGAATCGGAAAAACTACCTACACCCGTGACCCGGCCTCTTTATGCACATATGGTCATATCAGGCACAGACTTCTCAGGGCATGAGAGGTCTCCAGCAAATATTTGGCAATAACTTTGAATGAAGACATGCTTTAGTGATGAACACCTTAGATGCGTTCAGCTCAACGACACAAATCGACTGATATTCAACATGACCTTTTCCTTGACCTTGACCTGAGGGCAAATTTTCAAACTCATGCTTTCATCCGCGTCTTTGTAGCTTTCATTGTTTCCGAGACAATCTGGTGTGGCCAAATACGTAGCGAAGCGAAGTTCATAGCGAAGTTGGCTGAGACCTCCACAGCGGCGCAACTAAGGCGCTTCAAGCATCGCAAAAATACAGTTAGATGTGGCATCAACTTCCTCTCGGCTGGCGAGGGCTGACTTTCGACGACTCCTGCCGATGACCCTACATTACAGATTTACCTTCTACTTTTGACGGCCCTTCGAAAACCGCCTGCCGCTTCTTGTCGCTACGTGACCCAAGCGCCCAGTTAGACGAGGGATTGAAAATTGTCCCACCCAGTACCCACCTCGACGTGCTATGACCGGAATGCCGTCACAGCACGGAATAAGTATCCTTTCGCCCCCGTATAATCTTCACCACGCTGATTCCGCTTCGTAAACACACGAATGCAACATGAATTTTTTGTTAGGACAAAAAGGTACAGATGACAATAGCAAAACAAACACAAAACTTTTAGCTGAAATGGATCAGTACCATCTCAGCAGTCGTTAATACTTCCAGCATCTCATGCTCGACTTGCTCTATGCCCTTACTAACCGCTCAAGTATAAGGATTCTTGCAGAATTGTCCAACACTCTCGAGAATAGTTCGGCCTGCTTAGCTTGGAGCTCGGCGATTTCATTGAGGGTTGACCATGCATCAGCCTCCCTCTCGTACATATCTCTTCCAGCTGAATAAGTATAAGAGTAGCCTTCAACGGCTGATCCAAGAATGGCGACAACAAGGAGGATTGGCAGCATCTGGAACTTCATGTTCAATTTCTAGATTTTGAGTGCCAAAACGTAGTAACACAAATAAAACAAAAAATTTGACAGGTGAAAGCAGAATGAATACAACGAAAAGATTTGAAAAAGATGAGAAGGGAAAAAGAAGACTTTTGAAAAATATCTCTCAAAGCGCGTAGTGTTTAGTTCATGGCTCTTCTGATTCCTATTTTTATTTCAATAGGTTGCAGTTTGCAGCTCATCGTTTATACCTTTCATTGACTTTCTTTTTATATCATAGAATACAGATAGTTCTCTGCATGTGTATACACTGGCCGGTAAACGAAGTAAATTTTCCAATCACTGATCTATTTACTGTCTGTAATGAGACATTGATGATTGACATGATAGTCCTCATTGATAATTGAAATACAGATAATTGCAGCGTTGCACTTTTCCGCGACTCTCTAGGTCTTTTGGTTCACGAGTAACCTACAGGTACTCGGCCTTCTGAAAATTGTCAAAATCGAGAACAACTGATCGTGATAATTGATGTTACAAGCTGCCCCACCACGTGGCGACGCTTGTTCAACTCTGGCTGGCTGGCGCTTGCCGCTCCGTTGGGCTGCGGCCACGGGTGACGGCCAACAGCCGGTGCTGCGCCAAAATGGCCACTGCAGCTGTGCCGCCTGCAGTGACGCACCGAGCTGCCCAGTGCGCAGCGTGGGCTGATCTCGGCCGACCGGCTGCCCCACGGATCCTCTCCCCAGCGTGACTGCCAACACAAATACACACACGAACACGGCTCCCTGTGCGCCGAGCCGGATCCGCCAGTTGAGCTCGGGCCTGGTCGGGCACGAGCGGGCAATCACTGTCCGACGGCCGTGTGAGCGGGTGACGGCCGGTGCTGGCGGGCACCCTGTGGTACTTCAGGGCAGCAGAGACACCTCTGACCCACTGAACACTCAGACCGACAGGCATGGCGCAGCGACCGGCGAGACGCATCTGCCTGCTTTACTTAGGAGTCGGTATGTAGAGAGTAGAGACCCATTGCCGTTGATTATGTTTGTGCCATTCATGTAATGTGCAATGCTTAAATGTTTTTGGTAGGCTGCAGCGGCGTAGACGTGTCACTTCCACATTGCCAAATAAAGGACAGTGCATCACGGAATCCAGTGACATGTTTGCTCACAGATTGCTCAGACTACTTTTACGGTGTTCTGATTTTCACAGAATTGATGATTTTATGTTTCCTGTAAGGTTATTTCATTCTTAACCCTCGCCCGCACATGCCATTTTCCCATACTAGAACGCACATGGGGGGGGGGGGGGGTTGCCACCCCCCGCGCCATTTCGTTCCTGTTGGAGATAGAGCTTAGCGGTAAAGACCAAAAAGATTCTTTGGGAAGAGACGAATCCAATGATACCCAGTTTTACCTTCTCAGATCAGTCGTTGACCTTCCAGGTCAGGTCAAACTAAAAAATGTTGCTGTTTTGGGTCACCGTTGGATATCAAGTGCGCTGCTTATCATATACCGATGACGATGCTATTTTCTGGTGCCAAGCCAGCTAGAACCTCTTTCTCACACTACCCGACCAGATTTTTGCTGCTGAGGTCATTTCAGGTCAAGTTAGGTCAAGGTCAGTTATATGTGTTTGTATGTCGGTGTGTGTATGTGTGTATACTGATGTGTGCGCCGATTGTTTTTGAGTCCATATTACATGAAATCATGATCTGAGAAGCTTTTACCAAAATTGCAGTCAAATAAATTCACAAAAAGTAAATTTAGCTTGCCTAAAACGCAATTATCTTAGATGACCTAGGTTGACCTTGACCCTGACCTTGACACCTGTACATCGTCGAACAACATGTTCCATGATAGGTGGAGGTAAGACTGGCAAAATAGGCCGAAATCAAGGTGTCAAAAGCTCACAAGGCCCATGGCAAACGCAAGATGTTGAGAATTTGCCATTTGGGTCATGACATGACCTGAAAAACAAGGTCATATCTCCGAAACCAAAAATCACAGACACTTGAAATTTTCAGTGGACATCAAGAAAGGATAGAGGAGCAGCTATACGAAAAATCAGCTTTCTAGCTCCAAAAATGTTGAGTGCAGAGTAGAAAGACTACCTGGGGGGGTGGCAACCCCCCCCCATGTGCGGGCGAGGGTTAAACAATTACTATTAGAGCAAGTTTTTTTCCGTATTAATAGAAATAAATGACCTGAATACCAGCAGTAACCCATGACCTCATTTGACCTCGATAAGGATGTTTTCATGCATTTTTCTTGTCGAAGGTATTGTTAAAAATCCGTATTGTTGTAATGTTTCACGAACAATTTATCATTATTATCCTCTCTTACAATATTTCCAAAAATTATAGGTATATGTCTATATTTTGGGACACGCATGGCTTGGCGCTACGATCAAAGAAGATCGTGGTATGGACATCAGATGCAGGAAATTCGTACGTTAATATGACACCATGTCAGTAAATAACTCGAAGACTCGAAGTTCGTTAAAAAGCTTAATTGAATACTACTTGAGATAATTTTAAGGCCTGGCAAATCTACAGAGAACAATCATATCACGTACCTACTTACAACGCATATCAATTTTCGGCGCCTCAGCTTATGTAATCGTATGAAACAGGCGGCGACGACTGACAAACACTGCTGTTTATCTATCTGCCATCAACTATATATCATCAAGCTGAGTAGCAATAGACAAAGGTATATATTGAGACGGTTTACACAACACATTCGGGTGGGTGTAACCCGTCTCAATATATTATAATCATCAAGCATCGACGTGTGCCGCTCATAATTAGCAGCACCCTCCCGCCTTTGTTTGGCACAGTGGCCCACTGACCCAGTGGGAGGCGCTGGCATCTCACTCGAATTGCTCACGGCTGCCTCAGGGTCAGCGTCGTAAACACGTCACCCTGCAGCTCCCAAAAACGGGACAGACCGCCTCACAAACATCATCAGTCGGTCACAAACACGCGCTTAGATGGACGAACCAGAGCCTGACTAGTGTTTGGACAGCGGAGAAGAAAACATGCAAGCCAGCAACTGCACGCCGTTGTAGCTGCGTATGAATGCAATTTAGTGAGCCCTCGCCGGGTCTATCGTTTTTTACACGTCGTTTTCAACATGCCACCCCCCCCCCCGGCCGGCTTACGACCCCGTTCGCCTTTTCGCTCCTTTTTTAGCCTTGCAGGAATACGGGCGTGTGCGCCGGTACGAGATGCAGCGACTGATACCCGGTTTTAAGGTCTCAGGTTAACCGGCGACTTGTGAGGTCAGTTCAAGTGGCCCAAGGCCACTTGAAGGCGACTTTGGTTTCTGTTAGTAACTTCTCCAAAAATGCCGCAGAGCCGCGATTTGGGCACCATCGTACCCGCCATGCTCAGACGCATCGAATTACATTTTGGTTTGTTTGGTTGAAGTCAACTTGGGTTGTTGACCTCAGGTCAAGGTCGGGTCAGAGCCACTCAGGTCACGAAATTGGTCATAGAAAAGTACATCATTTTCATAGAAAATCATATCGATTCGGCAGGCCTTCCTGAGTCTTTTGGTGGCCTTTCCGACTCCCTAGCCCTACTTGATCTCGAGTTATTGACGAAAACTCCCATGAACTTAGTTACGCCATAAATGACGTCACGCAAGGTCAGCGATGCAACAATTAGCATCCAGCGTAGCTAGGAGCAAGATAACTAGAACATAGGCTAGGAACATACGCTAGGAGTACATGAACTTACGATTCCATTTGTTTGATTTAGGCTCAGACAATTTCCGGCGCAAAAGTAACCATTTTCATATTTCCCAAACTGACTTGCTATGGTGAGGTTACGTGAGCGATTTATTCATGCTTTATGACGCGCTTTCGAACGCCGCTTACCGGACGCCGCTTTGCAGCTAAGAAGACGAGTTAGGCAAGGGATGCTCAATAAACATCTCGGCCTGGTGCGGGTGCAGCTCCGAGAATCGGCCCGGCGCGGGCTGCTAAAATAGAAGGCACAATTCATCGTGTTTTACTGTTCTTTCTATAGTCTGTCACTCTGCAAAGTAGGACCTCATTGTGTGAACCTCAACAGTAACCGATGACTCTCCTTTGTTTTGCAGTGATGGCGTCTGCGGTGGTCGAAGCTGACCCAGCCTCCTCTGAACTGACCAAGTGTCAGTTCAGTAGAAAGGAGCTGCATACTACCGTCAGATCTGCGGCTGTGACGGCGCTCACCGGCATCTGTGACCCAGGTCAGGTCACAGCCGCGCACTTCGGAATCGTTTTGTGGCGCGTGCAATACTAGCACCTGAATCGATTTATAGCGACGATTTTGTTCTATATGTAGGTACTTAATAAGTGCTCAAATACCTTTAACCATATCAAACATTCTCCTTCGTCCTTGATTTGTTTTCAGAATAATTAAATGTGTCTGCAAAAAAAAGTTGATAAACAAGGATGAATCTGCCCATTTGACGTTAACAGTTGACGCCTAATTTCCAGTGGAGATGGAGGCACGTCTCACTGGGATGGAGCAGCGCCTGAAACACCAGATAGAGGAGCTCAAAGAAACACTCACCAAGCTCTTCATTGACGGCGTTGCATACGACTACGATGACGGCGATGTGCCATTGGAGCAGCACCCGTACACCGGAGCCGCCAGTTCCCAGGCCGCCTCCGAAACGGCCTCCAGAACCGTCATCGGCACTGCGGGCTCCGCCGAACGCCGCTCCGGCACCGAACGTGTTGGAAGTGGTGCCACACTTCGTCAGCATGGCGGCTTCGAGGCGTACAATGAAATAAAAACTGCCGCCGACAATAGCAGGACGTCGTCTGTGACCAGAGCTGAATTAGAGCGTCGGACCGCCTCGTCTGTCACGGCAGGAACGACAGCGGTAGCTGGAGCCCATTCTGCGGCAGGTGCAGCTCACAGGGCTCAGTCGACAGGTGCTGGAGCCGCTGGGACACAGGCGGACGGATCCAGATCCGGGACCTCCCATAGCTACACACACAGGTGGACCAGTTCGTCACGATCCCAAAACTCTTCCCAGGGTTCAGATGGGACTGTCGTTGGCGCCGAACAGGCCACAGGAAGCTCCGATGGCAGGTCTGGGAGTGGAACCTCTCAAGAGCAGGCTCTCACGCGTGGTGCTTCCGTAAGCTACACTGCCGCAGCGGTCGAGGAGGGGGTGGTGGAAACAGGCGCAACGCATAGTGCGGGATCCCGGAGGTCCTCCTCGCACGCTCACTCACACAGATGGAGCGCGTCTTCCGGAGGGGCGTCTCGTGAGAATCAAACTAGTGACGAAGCCTCCCAGGGTGGTCTAAGATCCTCGCAGGAGGTCGGTGTCGAGGGGGAGGCAGGACAGCACCGTGGGGCGTCCTCTCACCGGTACTCGTACGAGAGAACAGCTTCTTCCACTTCACGAGGGGTGTCAGGGTCAGCTGCTGCTGGCTCCCAAGAGGCCAGAGCTATTGGTGCTGCTGATTCTTCCCAGAGAAGAGATTCGCAGGACTACGATAGATCCGCTGAAGGTCGTAACTATTTGTACGAGAGAACTGCATCCGCATCCCATTCGTCATCAGGTGTCACTGCTGGTGAAAGGGAACAGAAAGCCAGGGCAATAGGCGACACTTCCGAGTACGGAGGTGATCAAGACGCGCAGCGCTACGGGTCAGCCAGATCAGAATCTCGTCATCATAACTACGAGAGGAGGACCTCCTCGCGGGGATCTGCCGAAGACGCTACCCGGAGACAATCCCAAGCATCAAGAGCCATCGATGGTACGGAGAACTCACACACCGGCACAAGGCACTCCAGCGGCCATCGCTCCTCATCCCAGCACTACGCTCAGGGGAGAAGCAGCTCTTCACGGAGCTCCTCCGCGGAAGCAGGCGAGACGCCGTACGTGGATTTCGGGCCCGGCGGCGGCCCCGAGCAGCAGAGCTGGTTCCCCGGCACCTCCCGTACCACGGCCGGCACCGGTGTGCCCGACCTGGCCACCGCCTCCACGGCTCGCACCGGCGGCTTCGGCTTCGGCGCCGTCGGCGAGCCGCTGGAGGAGGGGGCGCTGAGGTCCTCCGTGGCGCGCGCCCGCGCCGGAGGCTCACAGGCCAGCAGCGGTGACGGGACGGTGGTGTTCAGGGACGGACAGACGTACGCCACATCACAGGAGGCCCGCCGGCCGGGAAGCGTCGCCGGAGGGGACAGCAGCCAGTACGCCACCTACAACGCGTCCTGGTCGTCCTCGGGGGAGCGCCAGGTGACTGCGTACGACGCCAGCAGCGCCAGCAGACCCGAGGGCACCCAGGTGCGGTTCATGGCCTCCTACACGCCGACACAGGTAAGCTGGAGTGCTAAATACTAGAGATGTCAATCGGATACCGACTTTCTGGTATACCGATACCAAACCGATGCCAAATTGGTATTTGGTATTTCAATCCTAATATACTTGGTATTTTGTTGGTATTATGAGCCCTCACATATATACAAGAGGCTGAGAAATTGTTAAAAAGTCGGTATTTTCCTCATGTAATTAAGTTGGGTCGGTATTGGTATTTCCTGACGGTTTATGTTGGGATTTCGTTTGGTATTGGTATTCAGATTTTCTGTAATTGACATCACTACTAAATACAGACAGTCAAATGTGAGCGGATGGTGTTTGATCGAGCTGTCTGATTTCTGATGACAATTAGTTATAAACTTTGCTGAGCAAATTATAAACACAATGCACGTTCTGTGGCGTCAGATATAAATCGTGGATAAATTGTGATGTCGATAATCCAGCGCTCGCCGTTCACCCCCGTGTTACAGAGCCCCGGCGGGTACACTGCCTTCACGGGTCAGCAGAGTGGCGGCGGGTCCGGCTGGCACCGGTCGCGTCACTCCCGCGGCCGCTCGCGCTCGGCCCGACGCCGAGCCATGGCGCGTCGCCGAGCCACCGACACTGTTAGTTCCGTCACTGGCGGAGAGAGCGCGCCACTGTCGCGCTACCTCGAGATCGGCCAGTACAACGACACCGTGTATGAAGCCGAGGACGGCAAACAGCGCTACTCCTACTACTGGGAGATCAATGTAAGTCTAACGCGAGTTGAGCTGATTTATTCGGGAGAACTTATGGCTTTGCTGAGTTTCTGCATTACTGAAAGGACTGATGAGCTTTCCTTTTTGGTGTGCATTGCAGCCTGCATTCGTGATACATAAAGTGAGCATACTTGCGGCATTTTCAGCTAAGTTGGCGACTGGCACTGGCGTATTCATTCCAAACGGCTTGAGGCGCACAGTAAACGGGCTTGTTGAAAGAAAGCCTTGCGGTACAGCCTAGCATTTCAGGCGCCGACTACCGCTGCCATCTAGTGGCTGGAATATAACATATGATCGTTGGCGCTTCAAAACGTGTCTTTATCAGCTGCGTGCTTGGTCTAATCTATAACCCTTTTATAGAGTTTTATATCCTCATGAAAACCTTAAATAGTTGCTTAGACCGATGAAAAGGCTCATTTCTACAGACTAGAGATGAGTGCAGCAGTAGACCCGAAGTGAGACGTGAGTGTTAGTTGGTTATAGTAATCTCTCATAACTAATGCTTATAATTATAATGCTTTAGGAAATTACATTATAGTAATTTCCTTAAGTACCGGGAGTTCCTAAATAAACAGTCGTATTTAAAAGCTATATATTATCAGCATGGAAGGCATGACAAAAACGAATCACTTTCTAACATACACAATAGTCGATGCCATTTCACGTGATACCATCTTCTTTTTGCTGTCTTTTCATTTGCGGCCACAGAGGACGTGTTCGAGATGAGCCCCCTCTCGCTCCACACACAGCTCTGCGCGTCGCCGAGCGGACTCCACCGCAGCTCGGCAGATCTCCGGCCGCACTCGGCGCACCGCGGACGACACGGCCCTCTTGAGGTCATCTGTGGTTCTGGGGTTGCTTTTGTAGACCTGTGACTTCAGGTGACCCCAGAGAAAGAAGTCAAGTGGGGTCAGATCCGGAGAGTGCGGGGGCCAGGTCCGCACCTCTCTGCGGGAGATAACCCGCGAACCGAATCGGTTCCGCAGCCATTCTCGAGTCGCAACGGCCGTGTGCGCCGAGGCTCCGTCTTGTTGGAACCATTGTTGGTCCATCAGCTGCCTGTCTCCACCCAGCCGCCTGTTCAGCGCAGTCCAGAACTTGGCTAGGACTTGCCGGTAGCGCTGAGCGTTGACGGTGACAGACTCCCCAGCGTCGTTCTCAAACCAGAAAGGTCCGATGATGCCACTGCTGCTCATTGCACACCAGGCTGTGCACTTCACACTGTGCAGAGGGGCTTCCGCGACCAAATCGGGTGGCTCCGTCGACCAGAATAGAAAATTCTGGAGGTTCACGCGGCCATCCATATGAAAATGGGCCTCGTCGCTGAATCAGATTCGGTGAAGGAACTCATTGTCCTGCTCGCAATTTCTCAAAAACCAGCCGCTGTAAAGAAGCCGTGACTGTTTGTCGACTTTCGACAGTGCTTGGTGAACGGAGACCTTATACGGGAACAGCTGAACGTCGTTTCTGGCCAAACGGTGAGCGGTGGTTTTGCTACAGCCCAGTTCCTGGCCCAGCCGTCTGAGCGACTTTTGTGGGCTCTTCTGGAGGGCTTCTCGTGCCTTTTGGGCGCTTAGAGGCGTCCTCTTGGTTCTTTTTCGGCCACATTTACCCTTTTTTACGTTCTCCACACTACCTCTTGCCAAAAACTTCTCAACTATACTTAAAATGACGGTTCTTGATGGCATTTGGGTCCTTTTTAAGTGTCGGCGTAGCTTACGTTGTGTTGCAACGATTGACTTTGTCTCAAAATAGAAATGTGCTATTTTTGTTTTTATGTCTGTACTATACGGCTGCATGATAGCAGGGCTGTCTCATCCCTATCTCCGTAACGTGTCGTGTGCGACCAATGACGTCACGGCATTGCGGCGTTCTGATTGGGCGGCAGCTCCGAATCGCCCGACTGGTGGTCCCCGCTCGACAAGCGCACGTGCGCCGACTAGGCATTTGTAGTGGCATTGACAGCAGAAAAAGTGAGCTAATGCAGAGCTCTGAATATACTTGAATAGAGTCTAAGCCGTCAGTAATACGTAAAAACGTCAGATAGGTTTCTTGTTCGTCTTGATTCGAGCTTTTATGTGATATAACTTTTACCTTAGTGTCGAGGTTGGCAGCTATGTGGGAGAGCCTTAAAGTTGGGTCATTTTCCATAGGATTGCATTACAGCCGTCCGACCCTTCGTACCTGTGACGTCACGGAAATCGCTGCTTCGGCCTAATGAGCATACCTTCTATATAGGGCCTTGGCATGATAGAAAGTGATTGATTTTGGTATGAAATAAAATGGCATTGCACGTGCTATCATCACGTGCAATTTGATTGTTGTGATTTTGTTAGTTGACGCCACTAGAGGCAAAAATAATTCGACTGTTTATTTAGGAACTCCCGGTATTTAAAAAACGTTGATGGGTACTGTTTCCTTTCCATCTGTTCCACATATGCTCCATCGAATCCAGCTACCTGCCGGCATGTGCGTGTCAAATAAACTGTGACAATTTAATAATTTTTTGACCTGTGCAGGACTTCCGCACGATGATGGCGACATGGGAGAACCACCACTCGCTGCGCAGCCCCAGTTTCTACGTGTTCCGAGGCGGCTACAGGATGTACATCAGGGTGTTCCCGAGTCGCCAGGGAGGCAACGTGTACCTGCACACGGGCCTGACCCAGGGAGAGTGAGTACCGGCACCAGCGTGTACCTGCACACTGGCCTGACACGGGGAGAGTGAGTACAATTGTGTGCCTACACAGTGTGCAGCGTAACTCCGTGTGTAATACGCGGCGGCGGACTTGTTCGGAACTCGCGTGAGCACTGGTTGTATCATTCAGGGGGAAGTGTAGCTACACGTTGGCAATTTCTTGGCCGCTTATGTTTTTATCGCACTCAGCAGTAATACCGAGTGCCACCTGAAACTCCGAGAGAACCGACACTCCAAAAACCCTTTCCCCTCCCTCGACACACTCTTAAACACCTTCTCCCCTCCCCGCGACACACCCTCTCCCCTGAGCACCTCCTCCGGCCAGCCAGGGCCATGACGCCCCCGCCTCCCTCCACAGGTACGACGACCAGCTGCAGTGGCCGTTCGAGATGCGGCTGCGCCTCTCACTGCTGGACCACTCGAGTCTGCAGCACGACATCCGCAGCAGGATCTGGGACCCGCGCCGGCTCTGCTCGCGCTGGAACTGGCAGAAGCCCCGTCGCAGGGACAACTTCGAGTGTGTCGGCCTCGGCTTCCCGCAGAGTCTGCTGGATACGCAGCGGTTCCTGCTGGACGGCGCCGTGCTCATCAAGCTGGAGGTGTTCCTCGAGGACTGAGAGTGTGGTACAGGATGCTGCAGAATGCCAAGCGCTGCTGCTTCAGAGGGAAATGGGCACGAATAGATTGGTCATTAGCAATGGCACTGAGGGCAGATGTTTGTGTTTGTTTGAGCAAGACAAAGTGGATAATGTTTAACAAGCCAATGACGATGCCATCATGGATGTCAAAGTATATTGTGCGGTTGCTGTGTATTGCGAACTGTTAGCTATCAAGCCAAAACGAGTGGTGTTTGCCTGGATATAAAACTTGTGCTTCGCATTGGTACGCATATATATTACTGCATGTCCGTTATGACTTTTGAAACTATGGTTTTATCGATAGTTGATGTATGTAACTTCAAACTACTTATAATAAATATGTACTTACATTTCAATATGCGAACATATGCGCATGCTTCTATAACTTTTGACTGGAGGTATGTGGGGATAACGGTATACGCATTATCGCTCCCCAACCAGCTTGGCAAGTGTTACGCTGCATACACCACCACTCACCCCTTCGAGTCAGCTCGAAGGCATGCTATGCCGCGCTATGGGCACCGACTGCCTTTGACTGCAGTCCTCACAATCCTTTACCGGGGCAATTTTAGGGCACTGACTGTCGTTAATGCCTGATGACATGACAAGACCGCACTCGCAACAGACTTCGATTCGCAATTATGTGAAGATTAAGAAAACATTTTTGACCGTAAGCACCTGAAAGGACTGTTTACCTGCATGATCACCCTCGCTGTAAGACATTCCAGAATCGATTGGGCCAGACAAACTCGCCATTTCCTGCCCCATCGCCATGTCTTGCAGATGTTTGATATATGAAGGACCGCAGATTGGTTTCCTGAGAGACTGATTGATAATACATAAACAGAATGCATATGGAAGAATGCATTCTGTCCTTTTACGACTGCAATCGTGAAAGGTTGAAACATTCAGCATGCGATGGCAGAGCTGCGGATGTTTTGAATTCAACGTTTACACATTGAACATTTGGAAAGTGAACGCCTACCTTTAAATGTTCAAATGTTCATTTGAAAAAGTCTTATCAAATTTTTTAAAAAGTTGTTTTTTCAGAATGTTAATTCCAAAATAAGTAGGTACAGCATCAAATGTATGACAAATGGTGACATTGCTGGTAAAACATGCAGCTTTTGACAATGGAACTAATTTATCTCATTTTAAGTTATCACATTCTTATTCGAAATAACTTGGGTTTTTTATTTTTGAAACAGACTTATTTCAAGTGGACGTGAAAAGGTGCAGTACCAACACACTACGCATAGCAGTCTGTCTGCTAAAGAGGCAGTGACAGAACTACCACATCAAAATAAAAATGCGATGAGCAAAATGTTATAACTAGAATTAATTATCAAATATATGTATCCGGGTCAACTCTTCGATGAGGAACGCGGCCGTCTCCTAGCTTAGTGGCAGCGAATTCACGACAGGAGAACATCACATCGTTTTGCTTGCTGTGTTGTGGGCAAGCTCTTTCGGTCTAAGACATAGATGACAGACGCCAGTCCCGTGCAGGGTGTTCCGCTACGAAGAACTCTGGAGACGCACATGACAGCCTTTGCAGCAGCACGGCAGTGGTTGACTCAATGAGTTTTCATTCTATGGGACCAAAAGCTGGCTGGGGAACGTTCTGCAGTGGCCAAGCGCAGTATTATTCAATCAGCGATAAAACTGGTGGAGGTACGAGCCGGTCCAACGACGATAGGTCGCCGGCGTCGATCGGGGGTCTGTCGGCACCGACAGCGTCGACCGTCGACCACCCTCCGAGGGGGCACCGACAGGAACGGATGCGGACGGTCAGGAAGAGGCTAAAGGGTACATGAAGCCTAAGCGGACAGGTAGGGATCCAGTCTATGGCCTTGTAGTTCTATGGCCTCGGATCCAGAAGACAGGGAGGACTCAACGGACAGAGATGAACACAGGGTACCAGGAGGAACGCAGACGGACACGGAGGAATATGGACAGGGAGCAAGAGGACGACATTCGTGATCAGCACCTCGGAAAACCCCATAGCAGCCACACTTTACGACTTTCTAACAGGTCCCGCGATTTTCCCGATTTTCGGGTCATTGACCTAACCTGGAAGGTCAGCCGATGACCTAGGACCTTAAAATTGAATATTATCGGCTTCCTCTCGTGGCGGGCAACACGCTCGTTTTTTTCCGCGAAGCTCTAACTCGATCAGGGCCCAAACGCAAGGGGGGTCGTACCAACCCCCCCCCCCCCCTGTGCCGTCGAAGGACGCAAAATGGCCTGTGCCGGCGAGGGTAAATGACGCCATGATTTCTGAGTTTTCGACAAAAACGGAATATCTTCAAAAAATCTTATAAAATCACAGAATAGAGGTACAGACATGCCACAAACGCCATTAGGCTGCCAACACCATGAACAATCAAATGGCCTTCTCCGATTTTTTTTTTAAGTAACTTTCCACTTCCTCCAAAAACTTGAACTGAATCTGGGTAATTTCTCGTAACTACTTCAGGACCATGATGCATGCATTTCTTAAATTGATCTTTTTAGACCAACCACGTACTTGTATGATAAAATGAGGATCACCATCGCGTTCTACGCTCAGAAATACTCCTGAAACCTTTGTCATAGGCTGCGAATACTAGTTTTATTTTCGGGGATATGTGCTTCAGCGCTTACCTGATTGACCTGACCTTGACCCTGACCTAGGCTTGACTGATCCCTACATGGACCTGACACCCGTGTAGCACTCATATGAAGGATTGTGCACAGTTTTGACAGAGATTATGACGAGAAGCGCCCAGTACGAGGTTCTTAAGTCCATTCTATACCTACTGAAAGCCCGATTTCAGGTGTTTGACCTGACCATAACTTGACCTGTGACCTCGAAATTTAGCTTTCAAACACTCATCCAAGGCGTCTCGTTGCGTTCTTTTGCTTGCCGCCTCGTGCGTTTTGCTTCGCCTATTGATTCTCGAGTAATCGGCTGGTGGCGTTTTACCCCCCCCCCCCCCCAGCAAACGGCGGGTGGCGGAATACCCCAGCACCTGCCGGTTTGTACGCACAGCAGCAAAGCGGCAACATTTTACCTACCTAACTATGTTGTGAAAATAAAGTGCATCATTTATATTGATGCATGTAAATATAGTGATCATTTCCTAATCAGAGGAAATGCATTACACATTTTCATGCAAATTATGCTTCCCTTTCATCCGTTAAGTCGATTTACCTTATCTCTCTTGGCGTTATTTTCCTGGACTGATGTCGGGAATGAGACCGATGCCGAAATATGCTGTTGCGGAGCTTGGTAGCCCTTATGACATTTCATGGGATATCGTTTTTATCATTTTGCGTGCCTGTGCTTCACTTCACGATTATCTGAATGTCTGAGCGCCCGACGCTTGGACCTGATCCGTGTAATAGTAAAGCCATGACGAACGAGAATGGTCACTGCCAAGATTCTGTCACTGCATGGTGCAAAGGATTTTCACGAAGTAAAAGGCATCTAAAAAAAGTAGCGTCTGTATTAGTTAAAACAGCCGGCTGCAAATTGAATTAATAAATCTGTGAATTAATTGCTCTACCCTTGAAGTTTTCCACGAATGACGAAGGGCGCACGTGGCCCGCACACGTCCAGCCCGCCCCCCTTGTCGGTTCGATGAGCGCCACGGCTTGGCCCGTGCACCATCAGCACGTGCACCATCCCACGGGCCGGCGGCGTGGCCACCCCGTTACCCAAGGCCGAGGCCTGAATGGGTGGCGTACCCACCACCAGGCCTCCCATTCTCTGGCTGGCTGGCGACAGGCGGCAATGGCAAAGGCAAAGACAATTGACCGGCGGAGCGACAGTGCGGCGGGCCGTGCGCTTATTTACGGCACTAAAAGGTGAATGAATGAAAACAGAATAGGTTCTTTCTGCGGGTCGTATTCGTTGTTGTCAGGGAAGTTGCCCGGCAAAAAAGAACTCATTGTGTAGGGCAACATAAAGCATGTTTCTCTAATTAAAATGAACTAAAATGTATTGGATATATTTAGCTATTCACAATGTTCAGCTCAATACAAGTAGGCGCTTTGTCGTACGTTTCCCTTTTTTATCTTGTGACACAAAGAGACACTTCAAGCTGTTGAGGCGGATGACATAAACGAATGTGCGATGAAGGATGGAGTGCCCCATGTACGATGACACAAAATGCAGATGTTAAAGCTCACAAGCCTCGTTGAAAAGTCTGAGTACAGTTCATGCTAGTATGCTCGCATAGTGCGTACTTATATGAAATGAAATGATAAATGACGTGACAAGTAGCATAAACACAATATTGCGTGCCCTTAATGACTGGAAAAGCTAGTGTAACACGGTCTTGTTGTGTTGCAATGTGCGGGTACGTGAATGTTGAAGCAGTTACTGGACGTAATTTTGATGATGACAATGGCGCGGCAAGATCATCATAGGGATACGAAAAGGCATGTTGTTTGTCTTTGCATGCATATCGTATATTTATTCACTTGTTTTATATTTTTATCATCCCATTCTTACTGTGCAGTGTGCATCAGATGGGCGCACAAGTGCTGAACGCAGCCTCCACAGAAAGAGGCCGGTTAAATGTGGTTCCCTTCAAGCGACTCAATTACTATCGGTTATCTCTATTTCATTTCATATCACAAACTAATTTAAAAATTCGCCCACTATTAATGGTTTCTCTAATTTAAATGGCGAACCACAGAAGTGCATGTGCAAATTCAGAACGTACATACACAGGGTAGTACAGTACCAGATCGTGAACGTACACAGGGTCAAAGTACCAGATCGCACTGTTGTGCGAGTAAACACTGACGTTCTTCTCTCGCCTGGAGGAACCTTATTATTGCACTAAACGCCTGCTCTTGCTCTAACAACAGAACAACTTATAGCCAATGGCTCAACGCCCTCGCAATCACCTGCATAACAGAGTTCCACTCCTGCACAACATTTTCCCAAACATCTCCGCGGCCAGCGCGACCAGTGCAGCGGCGTGTCCCAGCGCCAGGCAGAAGAAGGCGCTCTGCATGTCGTGCAGGGTCATCGCCTGCACCTGCTCCTTCTCGCGTCGCTCGCGGCGGTGCTGCGCCACCGCGTCCTGGATCCACTTCTCCACCAGCCCGGCCTGCAGCAGACGCAGCACGCTCTTGCTGAGACGGTCGGCGTAGCAGGCCTGCGGCCGGATCGGGAACGCCAGGCCTGTGGAGAAGAAGCTGGCCGTGGCCAGGTGCAGCCGCTCGCCGTCCGGCCGGTTCGTCTTAGCCAGTCGCAGCTGGGTAAACTCGTTCATGTAGACGGTGTCGCGGCGCATCTTCACCGTGTGGATGTCCCGGAACCGGTAGGGGACCAGCTTCTCGGCGATGCTGGCCATGC